ATGATAGGCGCTAAAGTCGTCAGAATAGGTATGGGTTTCGCCGCGCGATTTGATGCGCGCACCCTTGGACGCACGACTTTACCGCCCCCCGGAGGGCTGTGGTGCGCGTTGGAGCTACGTCGATTGAGGCTGCGTAAGTGCAGAAGTAGTATATAAAAGAACAGGACGCGGTAAGGCTGGAGCTACGTTGGCAGAGGTTGTGTAGGTACAGAAGTAACACAGTACAAAGGTTGTGGTGCGGGTTGAAGCTGTATTGGCGGAGGTTGTGTACGAGGTACAGATGTGGAATAGAGCGAGGGCTGTGGTACCGTTTGGAGCTGCGTTGAAGTTGAGAGGTACCCTGTGAATTTTTGGAAGCAGTGGAATGTGTTCCCAGACTTTGCTTGGCTCTGATCAAGGTTTTTTGTGGAGTCAATAGTTCCATATGAAGGACTCATCCGTCAGGTTTGTCGGTGACCTCAAGATCTTAAAGGCACCGTTCACGATAAAAAGGTTACTGAGTTGTTCTTTTAGGAATACTCAGCACCCCCATGGGTGGTAGAAGGGACCCTCTCGCTCCCACAATCTCGGCGCTTAGGGCATAGTGGAAGCTCCGTTGTTGCCGTAGTTCGCTTTCCCGCCCCTCGATCGGTGTCACGTTAAACGAGTGTCGAGACAATACAGATTGCTAGTATTCGTTCTAGGACCCACACTTAGTCAGCTAATCGCCGAGTGATGAGGCAATGTTCTTCTCCTATTCTTTTTCCCTCTGTTTTTCGTTTTGCTGCCGCGATCCCTTATTTAATTCCCTACTCCTTGAGGCTGAAAAAGGTGAGCTACTTTGCTGTTACTAGGGTTTTTTTGTTCATTTATGCTTATAAGTGAATGAATTTTTGCTTCCCATTGTCTGCTATTAGCACCAGGACCCACACGCGCGCAGTGAAACACACTGTTTAGCTCGTCCGGACGCCCCACTCTTCTTCATTTTTCTGGTTTCACTCTCGTCCAGCCCCCTTTTTAACGGTTTCTCGAAGCCTTTTTTCACTTTGGAAACACCGATGCACGCAGTTTCTTCACCTCAGTCCCCCTAGTTTCGATCTTGTCTCCCATTTTTCATCATAATCTCATAACCCAAAACTTTTGTGAACGGTGCCTTTGAACAACTGTTTAGTTTTATGGATAGTGTTTTATATGTTTTCAAGGTGCTAAAATTAGTTCAAAGTATTGCATGTTTCGTGAAAAGTGTGAAATGGCCTAACTGGCCAGCCAAAGGACGTCCAAAGACCTTTTAAAGACGAGCTGTCCCTATATCAAATAGTTAGATCGGCTCTGTAAAAGTTGTCTGATACCATATATGAGTGGAAATTCAAGAAAAGAAGAACAAAAGATTATTTATAGCTTTTTCACATCTTGTACGAGTTCTAGCTTTTTCTGAATTTTTTTTCTCCTTATTATAATAAAACTCTTGAAACCACAGATGTGTGTGTGTACGTATGACCGGGAATTGATAACTTCTGTCCCGTAGACCAAAGCGTTCGAACCTGGCCAGAGCACAGGCGGCAGGATGGGAACCCTTATTTTGGGTTATAGGATCGGACTCCGCCCACAAGGGGTGGGATTTTTGCGAAACGAAGGTTTGAGCGGAAACTCATAACTCCTGTTCCCGTGGGCCTTGAGTATTCAAATTTGGTAAGAGCATAGGCGGCAGGATAGGAACACTTATGATGACAGATCAGACTGCGCGCACAATTGACGGGGTTTGAGCAAAACTCATAACTCCTGTTCCCGTGAACCTAGAGTATTAAAATTTGGTAGGATTAAAGGAGGCAGAATAGGAACACTTATGATGGGTCGCAAGTCCAGACTTCACCCACGTAGGGCAGAGTTAGCGCGAAAAATTCAAACTTGTACCTAGAGCGTTCAAATTTGAACACTAGGGGCAGATGAAAACATTTATATTGGCCGGCAGGACTGGACTCCGACCACAGCGGGCCAGTGGGCGGGGTTTGAGTGGAAATTCAAGGCTCATGTTCAGTTGGACCTAGAGCGCTCAAATTTGATGGGTGTGCAGGCGGCAGGATAGAAATACTTATGGTAGGTCGCAAGACCGAACTCCATCCACATGGGGCAGGGCTTGTGCGGAAAATTTTAACTTGGATCTGAAGCGCCCATATTCCATAGAAATACAGGCGGCAGGATGGAAGCACCTATGTCGGGCGGCGGGAGTTAAAGGCACTGTTCGCGATGATTCAATGGGCGGGTGTGTCGATGACGTGTCCGCCTNAGGCGGACACGTCATCGACACACCCGCCCATTGAATCATCGCGAACAGTGCCTTTAACTCCGCTACGGCGTTGGCATGTTAATTTAGGCTTGAAGCGAAATTATTCGAAACCAACGTTGAATAAGTCGGAAATAAATCGAGTCACTCAAATATGCAGAACCTAAGGATGTTTGTTCATGGCAGACGGAGCGCGCACGATTTGTATTGGGTGTTGTAGTTTTTGGCCGGGAATGAATAATTCCTCTTCTCTCTGACGAAACCTCCAAATCTGAAAAGGGTGCAGGCGGGGAGGCAATTGAACACGAGAATAAGGGGATTCCGTTGTTAGCCGGGCGATCCGACTGTTGTGGCAATAAGGCAATGAATTGAAGAAGATTTCGTACTAGAACCGTGGAGAAACGCTACAGCGCCGATGTAAATCGTATTCAAATTTCCGCGCTTGGGAAAATAATTCAAATCGTAAAACCCTCTCACGGTTCAAAGAAAGAAACTAACCAGGGGAGGATCCCAAGTCAAAGTGGCCATTCAAAATGAGACTTACACTGCTGGACGTGTTTTTGGATGCTGAGTTCAAATCTGCTTTCCAAATTTGCCAACCTCTGGAGTTATGAGGGTGGTTTCAGGGAGCTTAACATAAGAAAACTTAAAATACATGAATATACCTGGTTTCTCAACGGCGGCTTGGTGTAGTGGTAAGCGTGACGCTTCATGTGTGAGAGACTAGGGTTTGGGTTTTGTGGGGTACGGAGTTTTTGCATCATGTAGAATTTTTCCCTGAAGGACCAGAAAATACTATTGTGATGATTTTATCACGTTTTATGACCTTTCGATGCTTTTGCTGATATTTATCCACATAAAGTAATACTTCAGTTTCACTCGCATGCTCATGCACTCTATATTCACAGTAGGATAACTTTCCCCACTTCATGAACAATTGATATTTTTTAGCACGAAATACTTGAAACAAAGAAGCTTCTCATAATGGGAGCAACGGATGATAAAGAACTCGTCTGGCCCATTGCTTTACACTTATAAACCCCAAATCAGAGGGAAAACAGAGTTGTGTAGGCGTCCCAAAATCACCCGGGTGAGTGCTTAAGTAGCCGACGGCATACCATGAATAAAAGAGAAATTTTCTAAATCTGATCGCCCAGAACTGAAAATAGACAAGCGATAGTAAGCGAAGAACGGGTTCTCGTGTGTACACGAAAATGTTGAGATCATGAGCTATTACATATGAGGTGGTGCGTTTAACCATATTTTTAAAAGTAAATAAGATATGAGCTTCTATCGGCTGTACTAGCCTCGTGGTGGCCTCGAGACTGTGTCATTCCCTTCACCTGCTTTTGTGGAGGTAAGACGCACTGAATAGCTTTCTGGTCTTTGAATGATGTCCACGAGTCCACTATCAAAGTGCCGGTGTTGGTGAGTCCGGAGCTGATACGCACCATCGCACCTGAACCGGTATCTATACCTACTCTAGCATCATCATTGCTCATCATATGCGTTTTACTCCAAATTTTGCGCACGGAGAGGTCTCCCACTCGTTAACAGGTAGGTAGCTAGATGGTATAGCAAAGCATTGAAAGGTCATAAAACTTGCTAAAACCACCATAAGAGTATTATCTGGTCCTTATGGGAAAAATACTGTATAACGCAAAAATTCCGTCCCCACAAAACCCGAACCCTAGTCTCTCGCACATGGCGTCACACTTACCTATACACCAAGCCGCCGTTGTGAACCCAGGCATATCGATGTATAATAATTTAAGTTTTCTTATGTTAAGCTCTCTGAAACACCCTCATGACTCCGTTTAGAGAAACGCTTGGCAAATTTGGAAAGTAGATTTCTACTCAGCATCCAAGAACACGTCCAACATTGTAGGCTCATTTCAAATGGCCACTTCGACTTGGGATCCTTCCCTGGTAAGATAGAAAGATCAAAATATTGAATCGGACGCTCTCCGTACACACCCGAAGACAGGCTCCTGTACCCGTAGAGGCTGAGGTTGCACCATTCGCACCGTTCGCATTCGCAAGCACACGTTGCAGGAAGGCAACATACTGTAGCCAGCTGACACACACATTTTGACAGCTCGTCCGAATACCCCTCCGTGCAACTTTCATCGTCACATTCTCGTCCAACCTCTCCGATTTTACCACTGTTTGAAGCCTCATATTATCCTGAATATGTCGATTTTCGCGTTTCCTTCGCTACGCACTGTTTTGAATACCACTTCCATCATTCGTCTAAAACTAAGACCCCAAAATTATCGTGAACTGCGCCTTCAAGATCTCTAGAATTGATCAAGTTCTCCGCAACTGTTTAATTTAGACAAAGGATCCCTCAAATCTTTACTAATCAACCGCTCTGAAAGGCAAAACAAAAACAGAACATCTATGGCAAACAACAGAACTCCTATCAGAATGCACCTATACCAATTCGCATAATAAGTGATGGCAGAGTCATAGGCATGCAATGAAATACCACAAAGTCTCTCAAGTAGAAGTGAAGTGTAATCCCTGACCACAAAAGTCGATGATGTTTAGATGTCCTTGATCTCGCCAGCCACTGCTATGGCTTCAATTTCAACAAGAGCTTTCTTTGGAAGTGCAGCTACCTAAAAATAATTGAATATGCAACCACAACGCGATAAAATTTTGAAAGAGTTCTCTGGGGCAGAACTGAAACTACGCACCCTTCTCTGCAGCCTTCTGTTCAGTTGAAGCCGGTTATGGGGCTAGCATTCCCTTCATGCAAGCTATGGGCCTTTTTTTCATTTTATGGGAGATAGTTAAGGACTGGCATCAAACTGAAGAATAAAGGCTACCTGATATGCTGCTCTCGCTGGGAACTTAGCGGTGAAGTATTCCTTATAGATGTCATTAACTGTGGTAAAGTCATTGATGTCAGCCAAGAGAACCGTAGTTTTGACAACTGAAAAATGGTAATAGAACTGAACAAGTGTCAAAACTGCAAAAAAAAAAACATTCAGTAAATTAAGGTTTTATGGTGAGTTTTGAATAGCGACCACCATTAAAACACAATTCCGAAGCTGGTATCACCCGCGCTGTAAATAATCTATGGAAAAAATATTTCCAAGTTTACATCAGACTGATAAATACGACCGAGCGTCATCAAGGCCAGTGCACGAGATTGCGGGCTTTTTCTGCAGTTGGGGTGCCTCACCGCATATCCGTGAATCGATCAGGACCAGAATTCATTTCCAGCAATTTCAATAGTGCCATTACTCGCCTGACCGAAACTGGTAAGAAAGCCGAATTTAACAGAGGCTAGGGTAAGAGTTACATACAAATCAGTTATGACTGGCTTTCCAACAGCTTTTCACTGGATAGTATATTGTCTACGTTCCATTCATGACATTATATCTGCTTTCCCCTCTCAGCTAATCCGAAAAAGGACGGAGATCCGAGCTAGGTAAAGAACGGTTCTGGGCACACTATCTTGTTCCATTTTCGCATAGAAATTTTCGTTTTCCATAGGAACACTAACCGTTTCCGTACCCGACGCCTGCCGCTTTAAGTATTTCACCGATGTTTTTCAGTGATTGATGAGTCTGTTCTTTGATTCCTTGCTTCAGGTCTCCACTCTTAGGGTCTAGCCCCAGAGAGCCGCTGATGTAAATGGTGTTGTCAACACGAACAGCTTGACTGAAAATTAATACTGTATGAAATCCATTGCGTGCGATAATCACACCTTTTTAAAAATCAATAATTAAAGTATGTCATGTGACCCTGATAAGAATATTCCTAATCAAGCAATTACGAATAATATCGTGAATCATCAAGAATGAGCTGCGCATAGTAAAGTCTTCTTGCTTACACTTACATAACAAGGCAGCATTTGTGAAAGAGCTTGTGAAATCGGGAATAAGGTCACGATTAAGCGATTACACGCTTGAGCCTAGTGAACGAACGATACTTGGCCATCGATAACTAACCCTCACTTCCTCTGCTGACAGTTTTGTAGAATACGGATAATGCTTTACAGCAAATTTTGCTCACCTGTACGGTCCCACAGCTCCAGGAGCATTCGCAGAATGAATAATCTGCCTTGTAACTTGGGCCATTCTCTCCAAGGAGCGTTTCCTGAATAGAAGGGAATCAACTAACCAGGTAGCCAGAGTCTAGCATATGGCCCTTCCCTTGGTTTCCATCGCGTACGATGAAAACTTACTCAAAATCTCCCAGCATCATGCTTTGCTAACAATCTCACATAGAGCCATGCGCAAAACGTTGATCAAGCAATGATGATTTCAATTTTGCAAATATATTGCGTTCTTGTGTTCATTGTTAAAGAGCACCCCCATCAAAAGCGGATTTTGCTCAGGACAATGTCTCCCAGAAGCCCTCCTAAGTCGCAGCCCACCCTCTTATCTATAAGATGACAAGTGCGAGGTAAGGGGAGCCTGTTTTCAACAACTACATGATTACAAATCTACACGGGACCTCGACGGTACAAGTAACGGTAACATAGAAAGCAAGAGTGACCGAATCAAATAGTCGCGACAAGCGAAAACCGTATGACAGCAGCAAGCAAATGGCTGGGCTGTCTGATAATGTTTTGTATACCTCTTCAAGAATTTGCCCTCTGATAAGCGCTTATCATTTCTGTCACAATATGGCATATAACTGATTACTTGCTAAAGCAGAATCTTTCCTGTCACAAGAGCATCTCAAGAATTTGGTCAAGTCGAAGGGTATTCGTCTGCATACCGCCCACTCCAGCGAATGCATAAACCTCATTGAATACAGTCAGAAGCCTCATATGAAAACATTAGGCGCTCCTCAACCCTATGCAACGTAAAGCACTCATAGCCACAACCGTCAACCAATGAAAATTGAGATGTGCAAACGCTAATTGTTGCTTCGCCCCCCTGCGGCGATTCCATCGACAATCGCACGATCGCTGCGGCAAAGTACGACCCAGCAAGCAGTGATCGATATTGCGTTTTCCCTTCTCGATGTCATGTGGAATCGAACGTGCACAGCTGAGGGTCCAATTCGCACCCTCATTTATCGACTGACTAAATGACACCACATTGAAATTAACGAATTGATGGCATGGGGTGGCCGACTACTATGTAACTAGAGTGAAGCTGCCTAAGGTTGCAAAATTACCTCGATAACATGGCGTAAATGGAGGCATATATCTGGCCCACAATCTCTTTAATCTACACAGCATCCGAAACTATTTCCCAGATAAGCAGGGATCAATCAAAAAAAAAAGCAAGTAAAATGGTATCTGTAATAAGCGGAGGACCGAGCCGAAGCAAAAGAGCGCAGCTTCCACGAAAACGCTCGAGCATATTTAACCTTGACATGGTGCCAGAAATACAGAATATCGTTTACTGTCGTCATGCGCAAACAGTGTCTATACAAAGCGTCACTGAACGCATTTCGCACTCGTACTATGAACTAGGTCTTACATAACTGTTTTGCGGTGATATATTCTCTTTACAAATCTTTTGTCTGGTTTCGCCCTGGCTCAAACAAACAATTATCTATTTGCTTCCAATGAGGCGTACGAATGCTTATCAAAAAAGTTGAAATGTACCAAAATAAAGGTTCCGGCACTATTTATCCTTTACTGCCCCACTTTGTCGGGAATGGGCTGCATTTCTATCGAATTTTTCTTTCAAGAAGATGAAACCGACCAGAAGATTGCCTAGAGGGGTAATTTGACCCGTAGAACACGAGTATTGCATACACTCGCCATAAAGGTGCCTAGCGCTCGCGCAACAGGCGCCGGCGCCAAATGGAGCTGGG